TACACACTATGTGTGTAGTAAATAATCAGTGTGTTTCTTTGTATTTCTTCATTTCAATGGATGAAACGTAAAGTTTGTATTTACTGTTGAGGAGCGCCAGGTTCAGCGGGCAGGAGGAGGAGCGCTGCCCGCTGAGGAGGGGTCTATCTCCGGGTATAAATTCGTCTCTTCGCGCCTCCTCCCTCCTTCTTCTTCTTCCTCCTCCGACGGCTCCTTGCCCTCCTCCTCGTCATTATGGGCTTCGGTGACCTGAAATCAGCCTCCGGGCTCAAAGTGCTGAATGACTTCCTGCTGGAGCGAAGCTACATCGAAGGGTGAGTCGATCCGAGGCAGAGCCGACGAGACAAAACAGGAGCAAACATTAGAAACTGCAGCTGTGCTGCTGCCGGTGCCGCCATCTTGGCTCCGATCTGCTGTTAGCTAACAGCTAACTGTTAGCTAGCGTTAGATGTAGCTAAATGTTTTAAATGAAGAGAAATAAATCGAACATAATGAAATATTCGTGTTTCACGTTGAGTGAAGAAGAAGTGACGTCAGACCAGTTCACATGATAACATAATTCTTGAGGTTACAAGTAGCTACACGTCAACGTTAGCATGAAGCCACATGGTGCTAACAGGCTAAGTGATGCTACGTGTCTTTAACAGACTGAAGGTTTAAACAGATCAGAGGACACTTTTAATAAATATATGAATATATGATATCACTTAATAACTAGTTATAGTTGTAGATATAAGAACTTTTAAGTGTAATATATAAAAACTGAGTTGACAGATTTTCAGATGACTTCACAAACCACCACTTAACACTATGGTTACTAAGTTGTGCAGTTTATTTAAATGTTGATTGATGGAGAGCAGCTGAAGTGTGACAGCATTCAGTGACAAGTTTGTTTTGTCCTCAGGTTTGTTCCCTCTCAGGCTGATGTAGCCGTCTTTGACGCCATCTCGACGCCGCCCTCAGCTGACCTGTGTCATGCCCTCCGCTGGTACAACCACATCAAATCTTACCAGAGCCAGAAGAACAGGTGAGGACAACACTGTTGTTGGGGTTAAAGGAGTGATGTTGTTGGTTTTTTTGGGAGGGGGGGGTTAGAGGAGTGATGTCAGCGGTGTCTCCTGTCAGTCTTCCAGGTGTGAAGAAACCTCTGGGTCAGTACGGACCTGCAGCCATGCCCGACACCACCTCCAGCTCTGCCGCCATCTCAAAGGATGAGGAGGAGGAGGAGGATGATGATGACATCGACCTGTTCGGCTCTGACGAGGAGGTGAGATCGTTGATGATATAAAGGTCACAGTGATGTCATTGATCACCATGTGAACTCACCTGTGATCTTAGACCTGGGTTTTGTTTCACAGGATGATTCAGAGGCAGCCAGACTGAAGGAGGAGCGTCTGGCAGAGTACGCTGCCAAGAAAGCCAAGAGTAAGTTACATCACAGCCAGTCGCATTAATTATATAT